CAATCCAGAGCAGGCAGCAGCCAGCCTGACAGCAAAGCCAGACATGGAAGTGCCCGCCAAGCCAGGCAATGCCGATCCAGAGCAGCCAGCAGCCAGCCTGCCAGCGCCAGTGAAGCAAGAAATCGAGGCAAAGCTTGACCAGATTCGGGGTGACTTTGCAAGAGTGATCAATCAGAGCACAAAAGAAGAGGAGGTCAAGGAGGAAGTCAAAAATGAGAAAGGAGAGCAGTTGATTGCTCTTGGCAAAACAAGCTGTCTACGTTTCCAAAGGTTGATTTTGTAGATCAATAAATGTGTAGATATGGAAGATTTTGATTCTGTAGGGTCCTTATTAAGTTTACTAGTTGAAGTGGAGCACTAGAAATTACACCGCGCATATGTTTGCTGCACAGGTATTCTAATTTGATTTGTATAGCGCAAGAAAGAACACTAAGTTATGTTATGTTATGTTACTTTTTATATCTTTTTATTTTTTAATTTATAGATATTTATAGTATATATAAAACTAGGATGTTAAATGGCTAAGTGTTGATTTTGTAGAGGAAGATATTCTGATCAATCATCAGGTATTTGATTCTGTAGTGTTAGGTTGAGGGACCTTGGGCATGCTTTGTGCTATGCTACTGCCATCATGTGCCCCAGGAGAGGACAGTGAACAATCTGATCTACCAGACAGGATGAGAGTCTACGCTGATTCTATCGTTACTCCAGGGTTTTGGCTGGATATTCCTGATGCTGCCTTACTGTCTGAGCATCATCAGAAGAGGTTGTTCGTTGCTGTCGATAAGCCTGTCCTCGAGTTTCAGAGTGTGGTCCACTATCTCAGCTCAACCCTTCCGGAAGACATGCGTTTCGAAGACGACGAGGAGACAACATCTCCTAGGCCTGGAGATTTTGCATTGCTTTCCTGCAATGCTGTTTACAACACTATGGGGGAGCACAACCACTACATGCCTTTGATTTTGAAAGGGGGCGTGCAGGAGTCCGTTTGGCATCAACTCACCACAGTCAATCAGGCTGAACTTGCTCTCAAGATTGAAGAGTTGAATGGCAAGATTTCTCATACAAACAAATCTTTGCAAGAGTGCCGGCACTCTAAGAAGGCGCCCTCTTTGAGAAGGACCTTGAATGACAGCATCGAGGAATTGGGACAGTTTCCAGATACCATATTTAGCAGATTTTGTAATTATTTGCTTTTGGATGCTTTTGGAGCCTTTATGTTTGTATTCTTTATATTACATCGTTACTTTATGTTATGATATATTATGATATGATGTTTATGTTATATAATGTTATATATATATATCTCTTTGACCTCCTCTAACTATAGAATCTAAATGCATGTTCAGTTAAGAGGTATGTCTCTCTACAAATTCACATCTTTTGAATACATACCCCAGTACTTCACTACAAAATCAAGAACATTTGCACATAATCCTGACCCAGGAGGATGCGTCTATTGGACTTGATGAAGAAGTGCGAGAAAATTGATGCTGCCCCAGTGGTGGTGCCCAGTGATGGCAACTGCTTGATCTGGTCATTGCTAGTTTTGCATGATCAAAACATTCAACGTGAGTGGACCTCTTTGGAGTCGATCAACTTGCAGGTGCAATTGCGGCAGACACTTCGGAAGTTGTGGTTGAACAAAAGAGGTGATGATGCTTGGCAAGAAGTCTTCAAATTTGCAGTGGAGAGATTTTTCGAAGAGACTACTGCCACACCTCCCCAGAAAGCTAAGAAAGAGCTTGGTTCTGAACACCCATCTCCTTTCTCTGCAAAGAAAGATGGGAACGGCAAGAGAAAAGTCCGCCGAGTGGATGCTGCCAGACCAGTCGATTCCATGGTGCTGAAAGACTTTTCTGACACCAAGCTCAAAGCGCCACCTAACAAGGCTGAATCTGCATTGGAGCCTCCGATCCCAGATCTAGCAGAATCTTTGGTGGAAGGGCCGTTTCATGACAATATGATGCTTGTTCCACATCCAGTTGAGGATGATGATTCAGAGATGGAAGCAGAGCTAGACCACAGGCGTAGGAAAAGAAAGCATCGTCGGACTTGCAAGAAGAGAGTGCAAAGCCAGCGGGAGATGCAAGACAAAATGGTTGGGCAGTGGCTTGCAGAGCATGGCTTGGCCTATGCATCTTGGCTAAAAGCCCATCGCCTTGGTAGCACCTACAGAAAGATCGGACAATGCTATGGAGGAGGTTGGATGAATATGAAGCTGTTACTGGCGCAGAAAAAAGACATTACATGCCCAGTGCCTATGCTCACAAAAGATCAAAAAAGAAAGTTTTTGTTTACATTTTATAGAATTTTCTTAATATAGAGGGGTTGTGTATTCTGATTCTGTAGTGAATCAGGGTAATGATATTTGTGAAATGCTGATTTTGTAAGTAAGGTCTGCTTGTCCACACTCACTGCCAATGGCATCGATGTGTCGAAAGTGCCTGACCTATCTGATGAGCCAGCGCAGACCTTGGAAGCTGATGCCATGGACATTGACAAAGATGATGCGCAGGAGCCTCCCTTGGCAGAGAATCCGAGGCCTAAGAGGAAGAGACGGGATACTTCCAAAGAAGGTAGGGAGAAGGAACTTCAAGACTGTTTGGCATTGATTGCTTCTTATGGGCCACACATCGTTCTGGAAGGTGAAAACATGCAGAGGTTGCGCTACAGATGCACATTATGCAAAACCAAGACCCAGCCAGAAGGAAAGGTGAATATTTTGGGGGAGCCCAATGTGGCTGGCTTCCGGCATTTCTTGAATGTACATGTGGACTCCAAGACGCATCAGCAGCACCTAGCCAGGGAGAACAGAAGGACAGATGCAGCCACAAAGATGAATGACCTTTGGTTGAGATAGTTTGCATTATTTGATTGACCTCTTCTACAAAATCAAAGCCTGTTTCCTTTTGAGAGTTTGGGCTCCAATAGGCTCTTCTAGCATAAGTTGCGCACAAGGTTCAGCACAGTCTTTGGATGTCTTTAGTATTCTTTAGTATTCTTTAGTATTCTTTAGTGGTGGTGTTGGTTGGACAGGGGCTGTTCAAAGATGTTTTGGAATAATTGTTCTTGGTTTCTCCCTTTT